CCTAGGAAGGTTGATGCTCTAATGATGATGCAAAATGCCTATCTTCTGTTCATGCGTCCTGCTCCACAAACCACTAGTTAGTTTTGTGAGCGGGCCTCTGAGAAACCAGTTCCGGCCTAGTGCTCAAAGGCCCCTCGGGGCGGCTAGGTTCAGTCGTGGCCTCACTGGGAATAATTCATTAGCTATATTCTTTACTCAGTGTTTTGTTGCTCTGCTTACAGTGTGGCCAGGACTGGTAGGATGGGTGGCGAACAACTCGTCATGCAGCAAGGCTGCCATGCAATATGCATGCCATTATCGCAATGCGGACTCGTCTTCTGCAGCGTGTTGAAGTGAAGAAGTACTACTGCTGCTGCTGCTACTACTGCTACTACTACTACTACTACTACTCCTGCTGCTGCTACCACCACCTCTACTACTACTACTACTACTACTGCTGCTACTACTACTACTCCTGCTGCTGTGACCACCACTACTACTACTACTACTGCTACTACTGCGTCTCCTGCGACTACTACTACTACTACTACTACTACTACTACTACTACTGCTACTGCTACTGCTACTACTACTACTACTGCTACTACTACTACTACTACTACTACTTCTACTACGACTACTGCTGCTACGACGATTACCACTACTATTGTCCTGGGCCGATTTGGTTTCTTGATAGCAGGTAGCATGTTTGTTGTGATCATAGGCATGAGATATCGGTTGCAGAGCAGAGTGAACCGAGGCCGTAAAGAAAGGACATTCAGGTTTGGTGAATTGGCTTGTTTCGCCAAAATGATGGTTTAAGCAAGTTGCTGCGCAAGACCAGGGCAACTCGGAACATCAGCACAGGGCGCTGGGGGCTCGAAGGCTTGGGATAATGTGCCTTTGGGCAAAGGGAATACCAATAAGACCGTTAACTTTGACAAAGTTAATGGACCTGCAAAGCCTCAAATCTTGCAACTGGCCCCTTCAAAAAAACAGCACATCCCTTGGTAGAGCTCCGGGAGGTGTTCATAAATTGAGACTTACTAGTAGTCCAAAGGAGGAAGTATTACCCAAAGTAGCCAGATCTGGAAGAAATTGCGAAATTCGACTGGAAGCTTTTGAGTCTAGGTCAGCTTTGGCATGTAGGGCTGCGTTTACACTTCGGGCTGCTTCTGTCCTTAAAACCAGATAAACAGTTTCCCGGGACGCGTTCAGAAATCCGAAATTTAGTCAAAAGCAAGCATGTCGCCCACAGTATCAGGTTGATTTAGGGCACCCTTTACTTTTGCACTCTGGGCGAAAGCCCTAATCTCCAAATCCGAAGCCTTAAAGCCTAAAAAAAAGTGGTTTATGTGGCTATATGTGTGCTGCATTCCTTCCCAGTACCCCCCTCAGCCACCTGCGGCATTCAACCAACCTAACCTAGGCGGGGAGAAAAGAGGGTTCAAACAAAAAAAAGGAAAGTAAGCCTAACCCTAAACCCTCATAATCCTAATGACCCCGTGCCCTAATAATCCTACTTGCCCTCAACAGACTCGACGCGAAGGAGCTTCTGAAATTTCTGACGAAGCACGGCTTTGGCGAGGATGTAAATGCACCGAAGCAGCCTCGAGGTTGCCTCTTCCCCTTCCTCAGGAGCTCGAAGGGTTGAAGAAGGGCTCCTTTGTAAGGGTTCTTTCAGGAATTAATACAAGGGCACAAGAAAGGTTTAGGACTTCGGGTATCGGTTTCACGATGAAAAGTTCAGGGTTCCTGGTTGGCTTCTCTTCGCCTGAGAACTCAGCTTTGTTTGCTGGATGATCATAATTGCAAGTGATTGTGTCAGAGTATCGTTCCACTGAGCATATCCGCAGGTTGGTGTTTGCGAGCAGCGTCACCTACCAACTGTTTCGGGGATCATCTTCGATCTCCATCAACACCCAAGCCTTCTTGGACATCCATCATGACCGTCCAAAATCTAAATCCAACTCTCTCCGAGAGACTCTGCATGTTTAGATGCAAGGAGACCCCTGAGGCCTAAACCTGATACCCTAAGCCGTTTTCCAGAAGGAAGGAGACCCTGTACCCCCTGCACATCGCAGCGAAGCTCGGGGACGGTGCCATGGTCCGGGCTTTGCAACTTGATCAAAGAGGTTTAGGTTAAAGGCATTCCACGGCTTCAGGCTCAGATTCTGTTTTAAAGGGTCTGGGCTGCAGGGGTAGGGGAGCAGGGTTCGGGTCTTAGGCTCTCGCAGCTTGCACGCTTACCCACAAATTACTTCGGATCCAGGAAACAGTCGAAGTCTCAAAACTTGGTCAGACGAGCCGACATTCTGACATGCCTTCGCTAGGGTTCCTTTTGAAACGGGTGTTTATAGGGGGCTACTATAAGGGACACTACAAGGGTACTATAATATAGGGGCCTTAATATTAGCAGACGTCCAAGCGAGGGGTCAGTTTGTCTGGTGATGCTTGCAAGTCTGGCTGAAGACGCGAATACATTTTGCCGTTGGCGTATGGTGGGCATTGCTTGCAAGTTGCCTCTGTGCCCTGCAAAGTAGCCGCCGGCCGCAGCCTCACGAACGTGTCGGGGGAAGGAGAGGGTATAGATCATCCGCATCATGCCTGCAAAGCCTCTGAAGGCTCGCGGAGGGTGCGGACCCAGAACAGCGGTCCTCAAAGGGGCGAAAGGCCGAGGACCTCGCGAGGGAAGAGGAGCCTTTGCTGCAATTCTGTGAAGGGACCCGGAGGAACGAGTCTTGCTTTGTTGTGGAGCCCACACCTGCAAGACTAAGACATCCCGTGGAAGAAAGGAGTTGCTTTCCAACGCCGACTGTCTGTCTAAACTAGTGATCGGAAAATGTGGGACAACCAGAAATCATTATGCCAGTGATAGATCACTTTGACGACGAATGACATGCGCGACGACAACGTCTACAGCGCTGCCCGCGACGACCAAGACCATCACGACCCGCGACCACCCCCGTGACCACCAGGACCACTGCCACAGACCGTTCGACCAGGACGACGCAGACGACCAGAACGACAGCGACCAGCACGTCCACCAGGAGAGCACGAGGAACTACCACTACACAAGACCACCAACCAGACCACCATGAGATCACCAAGAGACCACAAGCAAAAAAAGTCCACCAGAAGACCATTGGGAGTGACAAGTATGAGATCTGATCATTTGGAGAGCACAAACAAACCGGTGGCGACCGCCAAGAGACAACTAGCGGATTGAATAGAACGTTCAAGACTCCCGCAGGTATTGCTGGGAGTCAGGAGCTTGGTGCGTATGCTCTCCTCCCAAAAAAACAAATCGCCGAGATTCAGGAGGACAGCCAGAAAGGATTGCCCCCCAGTGCTGGCGGGATTCAGAGTTTTCGAGGACAACAGGCGGCCCAGGCAGTAGAATTCACGATAAATCCCGCGTGCGGCGGGGGGAAGGGGCCGGGGGGGCGGTTTCGAGTGGATTTCGGGAATGACTCTTTCTGGCCTATCGAAATAGATATGTTACACTGTACCCCAAACCTCTTTCCAACTTTTATAAGGTCCCTACAGTACCTCCGCGACCATGCCAGGATCGGGATGGCAGCCATGTTGAGGCATCTTGGAGAGCAGTGCAAGATCACGCATCTCTTGTGCCCGGGCGTTGAGACCACCCAGAAAAAGCCTTCTATGTGTTCCCGAGTTCTTGAAGTTTGCTTCCGGCACATCTCGTGCAGGTTCTGGTCTTGCTCGAAACGCCAGTGCGTTTCGTGAATGCTCGTGCTGCAAAGGAGTACCTCGGTTGCCATTGCTAGCTGCCGCACTGCAGCTGTAGCTATCGGCCGACCGACGAATCTCAGGCTGATGGTGGGGATCAGCTTGACATGCGAGACGAAGCGGCTTTCCTGGAATGCCAGCTCTAGTCATTTCTTCAATGACTTCCGTGTTTGCAAGCTTCGTTCTAAGGACTCCATGAATCGCCGAAATGCTGCTAGACACTTCCGAAAGAAGTTTTGAAGCAGACTCTTCGGCTTGGGGACGGCCGCTTTGACAGCAGGCTTCGACTAATTTTCGGTAATTGAGATGCGTTCGGTTAGGAGCAGCCCAAGATTCTCGCGGACCTGCTTGCATAGTCTCGGACTTTGAAACCTCTTGCGACCTGGTACTGCTGGCACTGTATATGAGCGAGATGGACCGCTTTTGCCCCGCTGCCGCGAACAGGGGGTGTTTATATTTCTCCTCGGGATTGTGTACAAACGGAACGTGCCCAGGTCTGGCTCAGCATTTCTGTTGTGTTTCTTGGCACTAGACATCCGAAACGGTTGAATGATGTTGATCATCTATCTGTTTGTAACCTGCGTGCATTCATCCATTTATTTGCTTGCTATCCTTTCTGGAGGTTCGGCAGTGCATTCATACTCAACGTGTGTGTGTGTGTGTGTGGGCGTAGTAAACTGTCACACGACATGTGACTGTATTCATACAGATACATGTGTGTGTGAGTGTACATAGACTCTCGCTCGCTCTTTCCCTCGCACGTACGACATACACTGCACAAGAATACATGTACTACGAGCAAACCAGCATGCACGCAGCGCCACTGAAGATTTTGAATGCTCACCTGCCATCTAAGCGTGTAAGAGGGGGGCGGGGTGCAGAAGGTATGTACGTATGTGTACATACATACAAAGGCTTACACATGCATGCATGCAGACATACGTACATACAAGCATAGATGCATACATACATGCATACATACGTACAAAGCAGCATACATACATGCATCCATGCGTACATACATCCATATATCAGTGCATACATACATACATACATACATGCATACGCACACATACATACATCTTCTTCAGGACGCAGCGAACGAGTCGTCGCCTAGCTAGCTAAGGCAGAATCTCATGGTGAGATTCCGGCGCCTCGGTGGGCGCGCACATTTTGTGCCCCCTCAAGTCACACGTAGTCACGAATGACAGTACGTGTGCTTTGTACAACTAAGTCGTCAGAGCGTGCTCACAATGGCAGGTGAGGCCTCAGTCCATTCGCATTGCCCATAGCAAGTAGGCTTTGCGACTGAGCTCAACAAAGTCTGGCAAGGAGAGAGGCTCAGCTGCATGATTGTCGTCATGCAGCCAGACTCGCACTGGATTTTGACCCCATCGCGTCAAACAGCGGTAATGCCCCTGGTGCAAGGCAGGCCCGTAGTGGAGAGCCATGGCACACACCTGATAGGGTCTCCAGTGCTTCTGAATGTCATGTGACGTCGCAAATTGTGGAATGCGTATCACTTCAGACCAGTCCGGGAGAGCCTGATCATCCTTGCTGAAAATGCCCCGTTCATCATCACGCCTATAGCGCGACAAGTGGAGGCAAATGAGATGAGGCAGGTTGCCATCGAAAGCGGTATGATAATGCTGAGCAGACCACTCCTGCACGCAATGCTGAAGCCCCCGTGCCTCCAGGGGCAGGTCAATTGTGACCGGGAGCAGTGCATTGGAAGATGCACAGATCACAGTGCCCGTGTCCTCCAGTCTGCGAGTTTGCCACAAACCGCTGAAGGCCTCCAATCGAACTCTCGGCATGAGATGAAGCAGAAATTCGTGCATGTCGTGTTGTTGATTGGGCCTGGCCCAGTCCCCCAGCAACATAGTCCAGCACATGTTGCGCATCAGTCGAAGGTCCGACCTCGCAGTCAAGCACTGATATAAGCTGCACAATGAGCCAGATCGAGTGGGATCATGGCAGCCAATTGCCCATAGCAGGGCAATGAGTGCTGTGTTCATGTAGCAGGCAGTGCCGTCTGCATTGTGGAGGACTGCATGAAGCAAAGGCTGAAAGTGCAAGGGGACTTCGGAGGGCACAAATGAGGGCGAGGAGCAGGCAGTATCTAAGGGCAAATCCCGGGACATTCTGAGAAAGCGACGTATGCCGGAAGAGGCTGAGGTCGAGGCCAATGGAGTGGTTGATTTCACCAGCCTCCGACCGCCTGTTGAATTTGGGCCGCAAGGCCTGACAGGCCGGGGCGGTCCTTCCTCAGGCGCGCTCCGAGAGGATGGAGGCAACTCTGGTTGAGCAGCATTTGAAAGATTTCCCACATGCGATCCCCCTGTGGTCGAAACCCGAGCTCCAGCTGAAAGTGGATCCATTCGGACTGAGGTTCCTGTGGAAGTCCGCGGAGTGACGCGAATTTCTTCACAGAGTCCGGATTCACAAGGGTGCGAAGCTCTCGGAGGAGTTCGAGGAGGGTCTCGGTGGCAAGTGGACTCGGAGCAGCTTGAAGTTCGAGCTGTCCTTTTTGTGCATTCCACTGCATGTAAGTCCAGCCCTCCTCCTCCTTGTACCACTGCATGTCGATGGCCGCCTGCTTCTCCTTGCTGATGGTGAGCTTGATCCGGGTCTCCATCTCCTGCAAGGTGGCTTTGAGGAGGAGAGTGCGCAGCGGACTGTTGATCTTCCCCGGTTCGTCGCGACGAAGGCGGCTCCATTCCTTTGCAATCTCGCATAGATTGGGAAGAAAGGATTCCTTCCCACTGCGGAGATAGAGATGCAGCTTGCAGTCCTGTTGGATGCTCTGCAGCTGCTGCTCGTGGCGGAGAAGGAGGCGGGCCATTTGACCGGTCAGGTCGCCGGAGGAAGTCCAGGAGTGGCCGCTGGACCAAGACTGATCCGAGCTCCATTGGTCGTTCCACGACTGTTGGGCAGCTGGGCGTGATTTGCCCCCTTTGCCCCGTCCTTTGCCCTTGGGCTGCTTGCCCTTCCCTTTGCCCTCGGAACCGTGCTGGCGAACGTCATGGTCGACGCTGAGGCCTGGGAGCCGGACGAGTGGTTCAGGAATAGGGCTTGTTGTGCCTCCGGCTCCTCCCCCCGTCGGTGCTTGAGTTGAGCTGCGTCCATGCCCGCCGGCGGTGTCATGAAGTTCTGGAAGAGGCCCAACTCGCGTTGATCCTCCACTGACATTGGCAGGAGGGAGTGCGTGAACCGGTTGGTCCAGGGCAGTGGAGGCTATAGCAGGGAAGGTGTTGTTCAGCCAGCACTCTAGGAAGCTGAGTAAGGTGATCATGTAACACTGCTTCCAGTGATGTTGAAGATCAATGCGAGATTCCTGGCAGTATAGACATGGTTTACACAGACTGCGGCGTAGAACTTGAGCCTTCGCCTGTGCAGCCGGGCGGAGAGCTTTCCATTCCGGGTGTGACTGCTGCAAATGCACCTTGAGCCCCGAAGGGGAAGCAGTCCACTGAGAGCACAGCGGGCAGTGGTGCTTCAGTGAGCTCCTGAGATCTGGCCTCGAGAGGAGCGCCTGCCATCCAAGACTTCGCAGCTGTGTTTGAAAGGCCGGGGTATAAGCTAGCGACTGCGAGACAGGCAGATGGCGAATGGACAGCGTATCCTCGGCATCCGCCGTGGTGGCGGCAGCTGTAGGCTCCCCCGGAGGTGAAGAAGAGGAAGCCGGGTTCGGGCAAGGGTGCGCAGCAGGGCACTCTGCCGAAAGGGGTGGCTCCAGACCTGGCGCGGACGTAGTAGCTGTGGTGGTGCCGGCCTCCGTGTGCACAGGGGCTATTTCGGTGGATGTATGAGGCGGCAATGGGTGGGTCGCAATGTTCGGGGGCACAGTAGTAGTGGGCTCAGGCTCTGGCAGGGCTGAGAAGGACAGGCATCTGCAGTGTCCCTTGTCAATATGGCAGCGAAGACCACTCCAACGAGAGAAGCGGTGCCCGCAGAGACGACAGGTCGGCATCCCACTGACTGAGTGTTGGTCGCGGTTGAAGCGGCCTGGACGCTCCCGATCTTTGGCCTTACTTGCATGGGTTCGGGAGAGATGTACGCGAAGAAGTCTATGTGATGGCGCTTGGTAAGAGCAGTGGGGACATGACCATCCTTCTTCGTGCATTCCCGATTCCAGAGCGCCCGTGGTTGATGGATTGTCCTGCAGGGCAGAGCTTGTCGAGGGGGCCGTGGGGGCTTCCAACAGTGGCTGAAGGGGAGAGTCGAGTTTCTGAAGGGCGTCATCTATGCGTGTTTGCCACATGCGGTTGAGAAGGTGGGCTTCCTCAGGGGGGATGGCGGCCCACCGGGCTGCTCGGCGGTGAGAGGCCTGTCGCAACGCATCTAACACCAGGGGAACCCGGAGACGATGATGTAAAGCAATTGTGGATTCACCAGTCAGATGTGCCTGGGACCTGGCTACAGCGCGTAGCTGTTTTGTTAAGGCTCTCTGAATTTGTACCAGGTGTTGCTGTTGCAGCGGAAGACTGTCAAGTGCATAGAGAGCAGTGGGAGGAATGCATGCCTGCCAGAGACGAAGTCGCAAGGGGAGAGCAGGTGCTGAGGCTGAGGTAAGGGCAGGTCGAAGTCTGGTCCAGGTCGCCCATGTTTGGCGCAATCTATACGCCACCGTAAGCTGCGTACAGTCGTCCTGGTAGGAGATAATGGCTCCCAGATACTTGTGAGTAGTCACGATTGGCATCTTGAAGGTGCCTGCCGTGGGAGTTGATATGCGCAGGCGCGGGCCATCCTTGCCAGAGAGAATTTCTCTACGTCGCCAGCGGCTGGCATAGGAATGATTGACAGAGAGGAGAATCACGGATTTGTCAATGTTGACTTTCATACGTGCATCAATGAGCAGTTGTAAGACGTGGCCGAGCCTGTCGATGGACAGAAGCAAATCTCGGGTGGAGTGTACAACCTGTCCAATGTGAAAGTCATCGGCAAAGGCCGTGAGGGCGCGACGGACCCACTCAGAGGAAGTCGCGCGGGCCAATCGGCGCATGAGCAGACCTGTAGCCAGACTCCACAATAGTGGAGCCACTTTACAGCCCTGTTTGACTCCCCGCAAGGCGTGGACGGTGGCTTGCTCAGAGCCGAAGGTCAGGTGATAGCCCAGACCTCTGTAGAACTCAAGTAGTTGTACCCTCAGCTCAATAGGAACTTGGGCCTCAAGCAAGGCTTCGTGTATAAGACTCCAGCTGAGCCGGTCAAACGCTTGAGAAAGGTCCAGTGATGCCTGGACCCCTCCAATCCGTTTCCGCTTGGAGGCAGAGGATGGGGATGAGGGTTTGCCAGCCTGGGCCAGCTTATCTCTGGCACGGTGGATATTGTAGGCAGGTTTAAGATTGGCCGCGGACACTTCGTGACAATGGCTGAACACACGATGCAGCGCCTCTCCTGTGCTGCGTCCTGCCATGTAGGCAAGCTGGGGCCATGGGCCAACGAAGGCTTGAAGGTAGGGCTTGAGAGCATCTTGTAAGTGTCCGGCCAGAACACGGCTCGTGCTTTCTGTGAGCCCGATAGGGCGTAGTTGTCGTGGGAGTACTGGATGACTGACCTTGGGCATTAAGGCCAGCCAGCAGTCTGACCACACAGCCGGGAATGAGGATAGAGACCCGACCTTGTCACTGAGCCAGGGCGCAAGAAGATCAGCACAGGCAACAACTGCCGCCGTGGGTGCCTGATGCGCTGGGGTGGCTTTGTGTACCGGGAGCCTTGCGAGTCGATGGTGGGCCTCAGAGGAGGAAATGGTGGGGGCTTGAAGTGGCGGTAGAGGTGGCAGTGCCGGTTCGTCCTCAGGCGCATACAGATCCTGAAAGAAGGTTTTGAGGCAGTCCACCTGTTGCGTGGAGGACCAAAGCTCACCGTTGGGACCTCGGAGCTGGAGTTTGCGACGTGGTTGCTTGGGCAGGAGGGCGCCAGCCAGACGAAAGAGCGCTCTAACGTCCCCGGCAGCAGATGCACGCTCCATACCAAGAATTTGATCATGAAACCAGGCCTGTTTAGCTTCGCGGGTCCTCTGGCGGAACTGCTTATGTGCTCGGCGAAAGGCGGAGTAAGCACGCCAGAGAGCAAAGACGTTTCGACGTCCTGTCGTCGGTCCATGCCGCCAGCAGTGATAGGCTTGCCACATACCTTTAACGCTGAGTTCAACAGTGGGGGATTGCCAGGGGACAACGCGTCCCTGGTTACGGACAGCTGGGAACACCGCCGTCGCTTGTTGCAGGACGTGGGAGTTGACCTCTTCGACAGTGGCCTCGGGGGAGTCCGAGAGCAGGGCCTCGACGGAGGCACGTAGTTGCCGAATTCCTGGATGACTCGGGTCGCGACAGGCGTTGCGTAGGCCTTGGAGATCAAGGAGAGCACGCTTGGGTTGAGACTTGCCCAGGGCGCGGTAGGGTCGAATGGGAAGTGAGACCTGCACCGGGCGATGGCGTCCCCCTTGTCGCCAGGCCGCCAGAGGCCAGTTGCAGGGGCTGCCGCCGCGGGCAGGCATATCGGCGGTGGCCTTGCGCACAAAGACATGATCGATTTGAGATGCGCCCTGCGGGGAAATAAAGGTCGGGCCAGCTCTGCGAGTCCAACTGTTAAGATGAAGCAGCTGAAAGTCTACGAGCAGGGCCTCCAAGGCAGCCAGGTCTGGGACCATCGGTGTGCGAAATGCCCTGGCCTTGCGTCCCACCAGTTCGGGGATGAGCGGGGCAGGCGAGTTGAAGTCACCAGACAAAATTAAATGGTGACGGATCGGAATCTCTTTGAGGAGGCCACGAAGAGATGTCCAGACGTCCCGTCGCTGATCGGCCGCGATTTGAGTCTGACCTTTCTCGATTCTCGTGCTGCCAGAATGATAAACCTTCTGGTAGGTGTTAATTGCATCCACCGTGCGGTCTCCCAGATCGATGCGGACGTGGAGCAGCCTGCCTGCGACGCGAGAGGAGGATGAGATCTGATTTGCCGAACAGAGCTGGGCGCTAACTAGGGTGAGAAGACCCCCTGCCTTAGGGGAGGGGCAGGCCGATGATATAATGTGCCAGCCCGGTGTGCTGTATTCCTGATCGTGCGACCAATGCGTTTCCTGGATGTGCACTATCATTGGGCACTGCTCTGGAGGCAGCTGGGCTAGCCACTGCATCAACTCCTGGTAGGATTCACCCGTCAGCCCACCCGCATTGTAAGAGACATGCAGAAGCCTGGCAGCAGAGGCAGGGGCGGCAGCATGCAGCTGGGGACGACGATCCGTCCGAGGCTGTGGCGAGATGACAGGTGCTCGGAAGGAGCACCATCGGCCACGATAGAAGGTGCCCTGCAAGGGGCTTGCTTGTGCTCGTCTGACTGCCCGGTTGTATGCACGTTTGATGCCTGTGGCATGTGCATCGCTGGGGGCCTGCAGAATGCTGCTAGCTCCGAGAAGGAGCAGGCGCGAAGCGGGCCAGGAGAAGCGAGACCTGATGACGACTGGTTGTGTATGAGGGTGGCGGTCCCGCAGGACTGCACCACTTGCAAAATTCCCTGGCTTCCCTGCTCCCATACAGTAGTCCGAGGCTGGAACTGTGGTCGATATATGTGCATCTGGTCCAGCAGGGATCGGGGCAGCAGGTTCAAGACGCGGCGGGGGACGTCTAACCCTCGGCTCTGGGAGGCTATGTATACAGACTTGCGAGGACAAGCGTAACAGGGCGCTGTGCGGGTACCTTAGTCTGAGTGGATTAGCCTCCCCTTCGGACTTGGGACCGAAGTGGGCTCGAAAAGTGCAGAGTGTATATGTGTGTGTAAGTAATGACCTCGGACCGATGTGTGCAGTCTCCTGCGCAGGAAGAAGGGGTCTGAGCCAAGCTGTGACAGATGCATGCCAAAGAAAGCTCAGAATATAGCAGGTCGCACTCCGGATTGGAGCATGACAGTAGGACAGGCATGCAGCTTGGAGAGTCGTGCAGGCCTGTTGCCAGCGCTGGAGTGTTTGCCTTATACTAATCTTAAGCAGCGCTCTGTCTCTTTTGCGCCGGCGAAATCGACGACGAACTGCACCTGACGGGAGTCTGGAGCGGACCGGACGCTGAAACAATGCAGAGGGCCGCAACGAAAGGAACAGCGCAGGGCCTGTGGAGGGCGGCACTGTGACCACCTGAGCGCATCGCCAGTGGGCCCATGATGAGAGAGGCTGGAGTGAATCCCCTTCGGCTGAGCAGGGCAGACGCAGGGCAGGCAGTGGTGACCGCTGTTTTTGCATCGGCCGGACAAGGTAGCAGTGACAGGTCCGCCGGGCTATGCCTGTACTCACGGGCCCTTGAGTCGAGTAGCCGTAGTTAAAGGTGTCAGCTAGGATGGGTAGCAGAACCGGGCACTCAGCGATTCGCAGAGGAGGGGTACATACTGGCAGCTGCGTGGCGCATAATGTGTGACAATGGCGTTTGTGCCAGTACTCGATGTTGGGCTCGAGTGAGGACCACGGTAGGGACTGCCCTGGGGCTGGTACATCCGAGAGCTGCATTAGTGTCGACATCATAGCGCACTGGCTGTGGCGGCGGTGGACCACGAGGCGGATCTCCGGCACGTAGGGGTTGAACAGGCGGTGGTGGGTCACCTCGTGCCTCCATCGCCTTGTCAATCTGGTCGGAGTCTGAGGCGTGTGGCTCGCGTGGTTCCTCAGGATCACTGGCCCCCCATGATGGTGTAGTCGGCGCATAGGAGGAGCGCGAGGGAGGTGCCTGCTTGAGTCCAGATTTGGGCTTGGAGGCGCGGGCCGCCGGCTTAGCACGGGAGTGAGCCGGTTTCTTCTTGGAGGCCACCTTGTGAAGGGTCTTGGGCCGCTGGCTTCCTGTGGCAGTGCCTGTGGCAGCAAGGCGACCGGAAGGTCGTTTGCGCACGATGGTGCCCATCGTGAGGAAAAAGTGGTGCCTGGTTCGGGGAGGGGACCAAAATGGCTAGACAGAGCCAGGATCAGCAGCACATGTGTCAGGACATCAGAACTGAGAAAGCTCGAAGAGAATGTGCAACTGAGGCTTGCACGCCTGGAACGGACAGGGCGTTGACTGAGTCCCAACCTCAACGATGGCAAGAGTGAGGGCAGAGTAGAGTACAGCATGACAGCCAAGCAGGGCAAGTAATGTTGCAATTGGGTCTGCAAGACACACACCCTCTTGTATGCCGGGCTGGTCGGCGAGCACTGTGTGGTGAGACTGGCAGTGCTGCCCTGACTGGCTTCATCGTCTCCAGAGGTGGAGGCACTACCTACTTTCCCACTAGAATGGTGCCGAGCCGGCGCATTCCGTTTGTCGGCGGTTGGTGGCTGCTTCAGAGGCGATGGTGGTGCTCCCAGGGGCACAGGTGTCTCCGTCCCTGAAGTGCCGTGTGAGCGCCGAGGGGAGAACGGTGAGCATCCAGGGATTGGCCGTGGCGATGTGGATCCCCTTGGCTTGCCTGGATCATCACGAGCACCGGAGTGAGAGGACGAGGATCGTCGAGCCATAGCCTCCTCCACTAGGCGCTGGAGCTGTCGTTTGCGACGCTTGTGCCTGGTGGGGCCATCAGCATGCTGAGAGGATGGCAGGGGCTGTAGGGTGCCCGCTGGGTCGGCATCCTTGGCAGCAGCCGCATCAGGGTCCCCAAGCTCTGTATCCATAGGCTCGGGGGCTCGGCCTGCGGGCACAAGCTCTCCAACGGTCTGGTGGATGTCCTCGATGACCAGATCCATTGGCTCTGTCCGAGCTGCCATGGGGCCCGCGGGCTCGGGAGTGGATGAGCCTGCCTCAGGAGGGGCATCCGTCGGTTCTGTCTGCTCCGGCTCGTCCGGGATCACTGTCTTAGGTGCCACAGGCATGGTCGAGGCTTGGGCTGCGGCATGGGCTTGGACCGGGGCCGTGGTGTCACCAAAAGCTGAACGTCCTCCTCATCATTCTGACAGCTGGAGCTGGAGGCCGGCGGTAGGCTCATCGTCAGGATCCGTCGAGATGGCGGTGCCCGGTGCCTGAATTTGAGGCGGCTTAGCGTACCTGGTCCGGGGAGGCGGATGGACAACCCAGCGGTATAGCTGTTGCAAGCGGCCGACCGTGCCTTTAGGGAAGTCCGCCTCTGTGGAGGGCAAAATCTGTGTGCTCGCACATGTACACACGCGGTCTCCAGTAGTGAAGACGACCTTGCAGGAGCTCTGGCCTGGAGTTAGGGCAACAGCCGGGTCAAGGTCCGTGCCCGGGTAGGAGTCAGGCACTATGATGCCCGGTAGGCCAGCAGGATAGTCCGGCGTGGCCTGGAAAAGGCGCACCAATCTCCTGGGAGCCAGCAGAAGTCTTTTGAAGGATGTCTCTCCCGAGGTAGGCGGTTTGGTAGCAGGGGGCCTGCTGCTTGCTGAGCCAGTATCTGGTACGCTGGAGCCACGGCTGGGTCGAGGTCTGGAGCGTGAGCGGGAGTGGGAGCAAGAGCGCCGCCTGGAACGGGATCTCAGTCGTAGACCTTCCTCCGGCTCGGTGGCAAGTCCACGCGACCAGCGGCCTGGACGGCCTTTGTTCCGTTTGGCCTTCCCTGAGCGGCCCATGCGTCGAGGACTTGGCCTCCTAGAAGGAGGCAGGAGAGTCGGCTCCCCCCCGAGTGCCGTGCTGGAGCCAAAGAGTCTATCACTGTTGTCATGTGCTAGTGTGAATCGCTCAGGCACCAGAGCAGCACAGTGCAAGAACGCTAGGAGGTGCCAAGGGCGCGACTGATGGGTGTGGTCGGCCCAGCAGGCGAGGACACCTCCAGCCTGAGGACACACAGACAGGCAGTGCATGGAGTGAGTGAGTGAGCAGAACCTGAGGTCTTGACCCAGAAGACCAGGAGGGCTCAGCCTAGTCAAGCTCATGCAGTGCCATGAGGCGAGACCGTAGGCTCGCGAGCGCCAGCGGAGCAAGATGGGTGAGCTGGGCAAGAAGATCTGCATGCTCCTCAGGCGTGAGTGTGCACCTGGCTTCGAGGTATAGGACGTGTGCCTCGAGAGTTGGCAAGAATCTCTCGTAGTGCAAGGCCTGGGTAAGGGCACGACAGTGATAGGTGCTGAACCTGGCACTTCGACGGTACCTCGAGACTGAGAGTGCCTCGCAGAGGATGCTCGCACACAAGGGCAAGGCACACCAGGGAGTCCCGATTGTAGTACCATGTCGGAGGCGGATATCACTCGGGGAGCAATCCGTATCATCTGGCACCCTGTGTGCTTGCAATTTATTCCGGGGCTGGTGGGATTTGTCCTGCAGCGATTGCTGCAAGACTGAGTTCGCCCGAGTGGAGCCTGAGAATTCAATCGGGGCAGAGCACAGTGGGACGGAAGTAGACAGAGGCTCCCACCGGACAGGGCCTCATTGGCCGTCAGCTGCAGGAAGGACATGCTTCGATGACCTGAGCGTCGGAGCTGAACAAGGAGAAGCAGATTAAGCATGGTCCTATCGAACCGAGCATGTCGCCCAATTGATCGGGTCAGGCGCTTTTGTGGCTTCGCAGCTAGTGCATCGTGGTGTGCCAAAAGGAGGAGCTCGGGGAGCAGAGTACAGTAAAAGCGCACTGCATGCAGAGCCTCAGACATCTGATGGCAGGGCAAGGCCAGACACCACTGCGTTCCAAAGCTGAGCCGGCGTGGGAGTAGTCGACGGTCCTGCCGCTGTTGCCGTCGTGGCTGAGCCCGTTGATGTAGAAGAGAAGGGGACCACAGCTGTCGGAGGCAAAGGAGAGGGCAGCTCGGTGCCACCCATGAGGGGCGGACGAGAGGAAGCTCGAAGGCCGAAGGTGCCTGGTGCAGGCGGAGAGGAGGCCTTAGTCGTGGCCGCTGCCATGGCTGTTGCCGCCAGCAGGGGCGGGTTTGGCATTGGTGGTGCACAGATCGGTGTGCAAATCGACAGCGGGGTGACCGGAGAAAGACGGAGCTGCCAAGCGCCTTGAAGAGTAAGTACAAGGTCTTGGGGGCAGCCTGTCGGCACTTGCATGTTAGTAGCTGGCGTAGGAGGCGGAGGGCCGGATGGTCCAGACATAGGCAACGGTCCTGGTGAACTGGTAGTCGTCGTCGTAGCAGCCGCCGGAGTTGCAACCTTGGGAAGCAGAGGAACAGATCCTGAGGTATCAAGCGCGGCAGGTGCATCAGTTGTGGTCGGACTCGAAGCATGGACCGCTGACGGGGGAGGTGGTCCTCGAGGTGGTCCGCGTAGGGTGCCTCTCTTAGGCGGTGGCCCCCAGGATTCTTCCGAGGATGAAGTAGAGGACTCGCTGATGGATTCCGATGCCTCAGCACCAGCCTCCGCCCTGCGTGCGCGGCGCCTCTTGGGAGTAGGAGCCGGGGTGCGAGTGCGAGCCCGACTCTTCGGTGACTTAGCCTTGGTGACCACGTCGATGGAGGCCGTCGCAGCAAAGCGTCCCGAGCGAAGGATGCCACCACTGGTTTTGGCCGTCGTCTGGGCGTTCTTCTTGGGTGACATACCTGATAGTCACAGGCTGCACAAGAAAAACCTGGAGGTCGAGTGGCTGCCTGCACTACTGGGCCGAATGGCGACTGATGCGCTTGAGAAGAAGAAGCACACCGTGCACGGAAGGCTGTTTGCAGTGCAACGGGTACGCTCGCATCACAGGCTGAGCTATGCTGATCTGAGCACCGAGCTAGGCACCAGTCTGAGCAGGTCGTCTCCAGGCAGATGAGGCTCTGTAGCACTAGAGCCAGAAAGAGAGGCCGGCTTGACCACATGGCAAAGGTTGAACTTACACACTGAAACAGACGGCTCGAGCCAGAGCCTTACACATACATACATACATACATACATACATACATACATGGCTCTTTGTGTCTGTCTGTCTGTCTATCGGTTTTTTTGTCTTTATTCATAAGGCTGTTTCTTTGTTTATCTGCATACTCCTTTATGTGTCTGTCTAGCTAGCTAGTTCCCGCTCTCTTTTTTCTGCATTTCTCTCGCTCTCTCAACCTATCAACTGCTCTATCTGTCTACTTGTCGAGGTGTCTATATTCCTAACATTCGATCCACCGATTCATCATCAATCGGTCTTTCTATCTGTCTTTCTGTCAGTCATTCACCTGTCTTCTATTTGCCTCTCTATCTGTCTGTCTCTCTGTCTGTCTGCCTGTCTGTCTGTTTGTCTATGTCTACATACTGTCCATCTATCATTCATCAGTCTGTTTATTTAGCTATCTAACTACCAATTTAACTATCTGTCCACCTTTCTTTCTATCCATCTGCCTATCTATGTGGATCTACCAATCAATCCGTCTGTCTGTTTTGTGTCTTTTCGCCCTCCGTCTCTATCTCTATGTACTTCCCTGCCTATCAATATCTATCTGCCTATCATCTACCTGTTTGTCTATTTATCTAGCTACCTATCTACCTACCCATCTGTCTGCCTATCCGCCCTATGCATCTATTGCACCTTTATCTTTCTGTCCTTTTTTTCCTATCTGCCTATATGCCTATCTATCTGTCTGCCTTTCGACCTTTGGATCCGTTACGATCGCTGTATCTGAATCTGTCTACCCATTGAGCTTTTGATCTATCGATATTTCGATCTTTCGATTGATCGATCAAACGATCCATCAGCCTATTCATCTATGTGTCTGTCTGTCTGCCTGTCTGTCTATGTAACTGTTTCTAGGCTCTACACATAGGCTCACGAGTGCCCAAGCTTTTTCGCAGCCCCTTTCTCTCTCCGGCAACCTCACAGCCGCCATGGCAGCCTCATCCCAGGTGCTTGAGACTATGGCCTCGCAGCTCTCCGCAGTAGCTGCTGGCCTTGAAGCATTGAGAGTGCAAGGAGCAGAGCAAAGCGCAGCCAACGACAAGAATGCTGAGGTGATCGCCGCGATGCAGCAACGCATCTCACAGCATGATGCATTGCTCACAGGAGATGGCCCGTCGGTGCTGTCGACTGCGGCACCAGTGGCTCGCCCTCAAGACTGGGAGGTGCAGCTACCCCAAGGAGCGGCTTCCTCACAGCCGGTGTCCCGTGAGGAGTGTGCCGCCATGATCACGGAGGCGTTGCAGCAGAAGGTCGGCCCCGCCCTGCAGGCAGCGTTCTAACAGGTCGGTGCCGAGCTTGTCAGCCATGCCACCAAGATCAACACCTTGGAGCACGAGGTCAGGATGTTGAAGATTCGCACGGCATGGACCGAAAAAGACCTCATGTACTCACAGATTGAGGCAGCCAAGAGGACGCTGGTGGTGAGGAACTTCCCAGATTGGGCAACAGCTGCCGACCGGGAGCTCACAGTGGCAGAGGCTCTCAAGGAAAATGGTTTCGCCTACTTGGAGTGGGACCTGACCACCACCACCATGGAGGGCAACGACGGCAAGAAGTTTCTAGCCCCAATCTCCATCCTCACAGTCCCGACCTACGCCGCCAGGAACAAGGTCATGGACACTTGCTCACGGGCTGTGGTTCGCTACTGGCATGAGATAAAGGAGGGAGAGGAGAAGCCCAAGGAAGCCGCGCAGCCGCAGGGGGTGAAAACCGACCGGCAAGCACGGACCCTTCCACAGCAACAGCCACTGCCGCAGACGATGCCAATATGGGTGAGGACTCACAGACCTCACAGAAGGCCCCACTGAAGAAGTGGGAGATGAGAACTTGGAACTGGAACCTCCCGATCAAAATGGCGCCAGGCATCACCCAGTTCGAAAGAAGGTTGGGAGCCCCAATGCATGGGTTGATGAATGCCTACCAGAAGCTGTTTGCTGGCTTCAAGAAGGAGACCCTCACACCTCGCTGGAAGACCCTTATCTTGAAAAATAAGGAAGGCGCATGGTTGGGTCGTATCCTTTACAGCCGCAAAGCTCACAGCCTCACAGGCACGGCGGGCACGGTCGCCGATTGGGCTTGTGAAGTTCAGCTCCCGGCCGAGCACAAGGACCGCATCCTCACAACCTGGAGGGATGTCTGGTATGATCAGCTCAAGCAGCAGATCTCACAGACGGAAGTGGAGAAAGCAGCTTACTCCACAGCGGCCCAGCGAACCTCACAGGAATACTCCGCGGCAGCCAGGCTCAACAGGTTCTTGACCAAAGCGGTGCCGGCCTACACGGAGGGCGAGGAACAGGGCATCGAGAACTGGGTGGCTCGCATCAAGTTCGAGTACCCGTGGGAGCTCCCTTTGTTGGCCTCTCACAGGACCACCCAGACCGCCAGTTCTTCCAGGACCTTCGGCCGGTCGAGGAGCTTATGGCGGAGATGGCGGCAGACCAGGCTATGGAGAGGGAGGTTGCAGCCGGCGAGTCCTTGATCACCTTTGCCTCCCAGGGCCTCTCACAGGGCCAAAAGAGGCAGCACTCAGAAGGCACGGAGGGCACCTTCGACAGCATGGAGCCGAGCGGCGAGCCCGACAACACAAAGGAGCCCTACTACCCGTTCGACTCACAGGACCAGCTCGACCAAGAAGTGGAGAATGAGAAGATCACCCAGATCAACCTGGGCTATGACATCTCAAAGTACTCCACCGAGCAGTGGGTGGATTGGGTCAAGGGCAAAAAGTTGAAGCACTTGGGTTCTGCAGCAGCTTCGGCAGTTCTCACAGGCCGCCCTCGTCCCAGGCTCTCGGCTTGAAAAGTTGGCAGGCGCACAGGAGCCCGATCTTCCAGCACAGAGTGCTTTTTCAAAGGACCTCTCGCACAGGAGGAAGAAAGGGAGCGAATTAGTTTGTTGCATGCAAGCACGCCTCCCATAGGCGAGCCGGGTGCGCTGAGCCATCCCCATCCCTTTTCCTTTGTTTTCTCTCACAGTTCCGTAATATGTTCGGATTTTTCGGGATCGAGGAATGTGCCTTTCGGCGACGAAGTGCAAGTTCACCTTCCACCCACCCACTCCCACACACCTTCCACTTCACACAAGCAACAGCCAAAGCAGTCACGCTCACAGTACAGGCGAGGGCTCCGCAGCAAGGACGCCCGCAAACGCCGAGCACAACAACGCATCACCAACAGAGCCGCACACCGGCGACACTACCGAAGCTGGCGTGCAGCCCTCACACCCACCGACCACAGCGCTGATCCAGGGTAAGGGCTCCCTGGCCCAGCCAAAAGCCTTTATACGACCTCACGAGCAGATCTCTCTCACACCGGCGGCTGCAGCTGGAAACCAACAGCAGCCACAGCAGCAGCCACCAGAAGACCCCCAGCAGCCACACAGCCCACAGCCAGCATACTCACCACAGATGTCACAGATTCCGGTGATTTCTGCAGACCCTCTTCAAGTTGAAGAAGAAGCCACCACAAAACAACAGCACACCCAACCACCTTCGCACTGACCCCAGCCCAGCCCCTCACAGCCGCAAACAGTGGCAAAGCAGACATGACACACGCCACCGCCAGCACACCAGAGCCCATTGGTTCAAGACCCACATTGCTCAACCCAGTAAAAAGGGCAGAACCAAACACGACCTCCAAACCACCCCCCACCAGATTCTCCGAGGTGCCTTCTGGAACACCACAGGCATGCTTGAAGCAGCAAAACTGCACACGCTGATCGATATCATGCGAAAGCACAGCTTCAGCTGCCTGGTGCTCACAGAGACCCACATAAAGCAACCCGATCGATATATGATTTATGATCGACGGGTACACCGTCACTCACAGCGCCACAGAGGAATACGACAACAAAGGCAACCCCACACAGACCTTCACAGGGGTATCGCTGATCACGGCCCCACACCTCACACCCACAATCACCGACCTCACTTGCATCGATGGCAGATTTCTCACCTTCACCATCGACACGGTCGAGGCCCCCCTCACAATACTGGCAGTGTACGCCCCTCACAACCAAAGGGAGCAGCAATGCAGAGACCAATTCTGGCAAGCACTCAACAACAGGATCTCCACCCACAGGGAAAGATCCCCGTTGCTGGTGGTTGGCGACTTCAAATGCCCTTGCCCTCGACGAGATTGCTGCCCTCCCCCACGCCACTGGCCCCCACTTCGTTCCCGGCAAAACTGCTGAGGAAGATGAGCCAACAGACGAAGAGGACGGAGACACCAACCAACGTCCACGACCTCCTTGCCTCACAGGACTACTGCCTCCCACAGAGCTGGCTACAAAAAGCACCACAGAACAGACACGCCCACAAAAGGCCCAACGGAGACCTTGTCCAGCTGGACCACGCCATCATACACAAGGAGTGGCGCAACATTATCCACAACATCCACTCTCTCCCCGGCGCTGCCCTCAACAGCAACCACTATCTGGTCAAGGTAGAGCTACAGCTCCGCACAAAAGAGACCAAGCGCACACCACCCAAGCCAAGACACACCAGAACACCGACCACGAAACAAAAGCAACAGTACAACCAACACATCTCAGCGACAACGACACCTACTCACAGCCACCCGCGCAGCTCCCTCTCACAGCCCAGCCACACACGCTCTGGTCCACCCTTAGCCATGCGGCAGCTGAAGCAATCACGGCACACATCCCTACCACAGAATCCTTTCCCAAGCACCCTTGGATCACACAAGCCACTTGGCAGCTGATACAACAACGCTCTGCGGCGCGACTCTCACAGAGAGAAGACCTGGAGGCGCAGCTTCACAAAGACATCAGAAAGCAAGCACGCAAAGACAAAACACGATGGCTTAAAGAACGTCTGGTCGAAAGCGAGGCCACCTTAGATCCGCGCCAAAAGTGGCGATGGATCAAAAGGATACGTTCGGACTACAAGCCCAGACCGGTCTCAATACGGGACTCACAGGGTAAGCCCACAAGCCTCTCACAGCAAGCCCACACATTCGCAGAATACCTGTGAGACTCACATTGGGCTCCACCACCCACACCATACACAGGACCCACAGACCCCTTTCACCCACCAGCCGCAGTCGACCAGCAGCCAATAACCACAGCCGAGCTCAACGCAGCACTCAAGGAGCTTGCACACAACAAAGCCCCAGGCCCAGACCAGCTTTCAGCAGAGGCCTGGCAGTGGCTCGACGAACACAACAAAGAAGCCCTCCTAAGCGTGCTCAACCAGTCCCTGCTCACAGCCACGGTCCCCGACGACTGGCACAAAGCAATAGTGGTCGAAATCTACAAGGGCAAGGGACCACTCACAGACCCTGCCAGCTACCGACCAATTTCACTTCTCAACACTTCATACAAGCTCTTCGCGAAGATCGTACGCACCAGACTCCAGGCTGCTCTGGATGACAGGCTTCGGGAAACCCAGTTCGGGTTCAGAGCAACACGCTCTACCTCACAGCCTATCCACATTATCCGCAGACTTATCGAAAGAGCGGAAGCAACTGGACAATCACTTTACACCATCCTTCTCGACTGGGAGAAGGCCTTCGACAAGATCCGCCCAGACGCCCTCATCACCGCACTCACGCGCTATGGCGTCCCACAGCACTTCACAGCACTTATCAAGAACATCTGCACTTCCAAGTTGCAGCAGCAGGCAAACACAGCACCGAAGAAGAGGCGAGCTCAGGCATCCGACAGGGATGTCCTTTGTCCCCCTACCTCTTCCTCATAGTGCATGGCATGGTGATGCACGACGTGGGCCAAGAGCTCACAACCAATGGGGAATTCCTTCCCTGGCTTTACAGCCAAATCCAGCCCTTCTACGCCTTAGCTTACGCCGACGACACAGCGCTGATGGCGGGCACGGCGACCAGGGCACAACAGCTCCTCCACACGCTGCAGCGTTGCCGCCCACAGCAGCCTACACCTCAATCTCAAAAAGAGCGTTTTGTTACGCTCACCCACCTCACAGAACACCATCACCTTCACAGACGGCACCCCACTCACCATCGAGCAACACGCCAAGTACCTCGGAGTCATGCTTAGCAGCAACGGCTCCTCACACAAGGACGTCACCACGCGGCTGGCCAAAGCCAGGAAACACTTCCACTCACTGCGCCAATTTTGGCGCAACACTGACCTCACGCTGAAGTGGAAACTCCGCATATACAATGCGGTTTTCATCCGCCTGGTGACCTACGGGCTAGAGTCTGCAGCGCTCACAGCCGGCGACTACCACAGGCTAGAGGCCTTCCGCTCACAGTCACTTCGCAAGATCCTTCACTTCAAAAGCACGTACTACACCGAAGATCTCAACCCCGCAGCGCGCATTTACACCAACCAGGAGGTGAGAGCACTCACCTCACAGCCACCTCTCACTCACCACTTCCCAAAGCACAGCTGAAGCTTTTCGGGCGCATTCTTAGATCCCATCCGAACAGTATAGAACGGAACTGCTGTTTTACTAGGTCTTTTCAGTACAGAGGGGGAACGGTAGGAGCAGGCCTTAGGCCAGGTAGGCGAAGGGTCCACTGGACAAAACCTTGCACCAAGCTACTTTGGCACTGGCTTTTAAAGTCCTCAAGACCCCCAGCCGCTCACAGCCCTACCTTCCCGTACTCCTATCTAGAAGCTCACAGAACAGCTGTCGACCGCCACTTTTGGAGTACGCTAGTGAAATTGCCAATGTGCAAGACACTCCTAGAAGCACACTCCTACGTGGCTCTCTCACAGACTTGAGTTCTTGCGGAGTCGTTGCTGAGCGAGTTGCATAGGGCCGCCCAAAAAAAGGCTCTACACATACACATGCGTACACACTGGCAGTAGGTCTCGTCCTGTGTTGTTCGCAGGGAAGACTCAGGTACCAGCCGGATTGAGTCATCGCAGGCTAGCAGAGAGCTTGGAATATTGGCGAGCGTGAGCACGACCTGTCTTTCAGTTCGACAGCATCGAGAACCTCTGTGTTGCCTTGCCAACACACTTTCTTACCTGCTGCTTCATGCGGTCGCAGTCTCCCTCCTCCATTGATGACATCATGATGTTGTTTACTTACGGTTGGCACTAGTAGTGACTTTCGGGTATGCCGGATAGTGCAGATACCAGCATGTCCCATCGCGGGTGTCCATACTCAGAGATACAAGCACTGAGTGCGTTGTCCGCGACTGCAGGAAGCGAGGCTGTAATTTGCAATGCACCAGAGGGTTTGGACTGTTTCGAATCGGTCGCCTGAACTCCACATCGCAGACAGTCGGGAAGTAGGGCAGCCATGATCCCTACGCTTCAGGAGTGTGGGTCACAGTTGCAACGAAGGGAGTGTAGTGCGGAGATGTTCATGTGCACAAGACTTGTCTTCGGATTGAGCATCATGCAGTCTTTAGGCATTGTAGTGCGGTGTGCCAACAGGGTTCGGGTTTTTGACCAGGTGAATTTCCGGAGTATATTTTTCTTGCTGCAGCGACGTGAGCATGGCGATACCTCCCTGTAACAGTTCACCAATGTTGCGTCACACTGGCTCTTCGAGTGCGCTGCCTTTTCCAACCTTTGGCGCCCCCACCGTGGACAATCCTTTCGAAAGCACCAACAACTCACCTCTTAAACAGCTGCATGTGTAGGTTCCTCGACACTGAATCTGAATCTCCGCGGTTGGAGCGAGGAGCATGAAGCTGACGTGATGATGCACCAGTAGTCAACTACAGTTACTACAGGCGGAGTCCGTTGCAGCAGCGAGCACGACTGCTGACAACCACAGGAAGCTGGGTGCGAAGTCGTTGTTTTGTTTTCAATGCCGCCCCAGAACTCAGAACACCCAGTCTTGGTTCAACACGGATTCGCGAAGGCTGTATTGCGAGTTGAGTCCGCCTCTTTCTGCCCGAACCAGAAGACAGCCCGACTTAAAGTCGATCGATCCACGAGGCACAGTTGGACAAAGCCAAAGGCATGCTGAAGAGTCACTGAAGAACGTCAGAGCAGACCAGTCAGCATTTTCCTGCCTACACATGGCTTCTTAGTCGACAATTGATGGTCTTGAGTGGAGAGCGCAATTGACCGTGTCGTCACTGAAAGCCGAACGACAACATTATTCCTGAACGAATCCTTCCACTGAGCGGGCTCCTCTTTGAGACCACTACCTCGTGAGTCCTCCAAGAGGCTCCAGACAAGGAGAACACGGCTTCTGGTTTCCGGGCGTGCCTGTGCTGCGGCAAACCGCAGTGACAGGAAGTGACAGGCGGGATTGCCAAACCGTTTCAGAGAAGCTTCCTTGTTTGCTTGGTGCTTGTAACGGCTGTCGGTTTAGAGACTTAGACGAGGCACAGTTGAGCGGTTTGCTGTCTCTTCTGGGAACCTTCCTCCTGCAAACACCGCAGTCACAGAGTTCGCGCAAGTCTCGTGCTGCTTCGGGGCAGCCAACCTGATTGCCATCACCCTAGAAATTCGGTGTGCAGGGCCCTAGGTCCAGGCTCAGGCTTATACATATTTTTAGGCACAATTTTGGTGCCATTTCGCTCCCCAGCTTCGGTGACGGATTGTGCTTCTGCAGACTCCCGGTTTGTGTCCGAGTCAGCAGCAAAAAGATTCGCTGCGACAAGCTTCATGCGCTTGTTCTCACTATTCCGACCTGTCGGTTTGATGAGCATGATGCTTATCATTCTTATGTGAGTACAATGGTGACTACAAGGGTCACTGTAAGCGTCACCGTTCACATTACCAAATCGTCAACTACGTTAACATGCTTGACCATGCCCTTCTATGCCTGCAGTTGACGACAACGCATCAAACTTCAGGATGTAGTATCACAAATCGAATCACATGTTCGCGAAGTTCCTTCTATTGTTTATTTATGCAAACCAGCGAAATACCTCAGCTGCACACTTCAATTGTTGCCAGGAACACAGTGCTCCCGATTGCAAGGCAAAAGCAAGTTTCCACGGCAACAAAGGGAACTAATGAATAGTCTTCTTCTTATGACGCACATAGGTGTCGACCCGTGCAAAAAATGGGTCAACATCCCAACATCTCACCACCAGCTGTCTGAGTCTGAACCGCTTACGTCGCCACTTGACAAATCTCTCGTTGCAGAGGGCAAGACCCGTCTGGAGCCATTGCGGCGCCATGGCCTGCGGGTTCTGTCGCTTCGCATTGCTCTCCGTGCTGACGGTTCCGGGCAACTGGGATGTAGGAAGCGAGGTCTTTCGTGCGCTTAATCGCTGAAACCGCTCAAGGGGTGGATGATAAAGCTCACAAAGCCACACCTCGAAAAACCCTCACTGCCTGCCTGCCTTGCCTGCCCTTGAGCCTTCCGTTCCTGCTGATTGAATCATGCTGAGGCACCAGTGCGACAGCAATTCCGGAAGGGCCCGCTGAGGCGAGTCCTTTCTGAGTTCATTGACTCTGCAAGGAGCTTCTGCGGCGCAACGACTAGTAAGACACTTCGACGCAGGCTATTACCCCCACGAACCCTTCCGAAATCCGAAGCTCGAGTTTGCAAAGTCGACAAATGGATTTTGAGACCATAAGAAGTGGTAGGACATTCCGAAAGCACCGCAAATACGAAGTAGAATAGATGTGCTCGTAAGATGGTGTAGACGACGACGACTACTACTACTACTCCTACTGCTACTGCTACTGCTACTGCTACTGCTACTGCTACTGCTACTGCTACTACTGCTACTACCACTACTACTACTGCTACTACCACTACTGCTGCTGCTGCTGCTACCGCTGCCGCTACCGCTGCCGCTACCGCTACTGCTACTGCTACCGCTACTGCTACTGCTACCGCTACAAAGTGCATTCTACGCCGCACACTTCTCCAAGACCAGTCCAGCTCTCCCCTGTGCCAGTCACTCCGCGTCGACGTTGACCGGGTGCTCGCCACTTACTGGCGCGGCCGCGAAGGCTACCGCATCTCCGAGCCTCGGACAGCACAAAGCGATTCGGCGATTTGCTTGGTTTCCCTAAGCCCTTTTAAGCCCTGCTGCCAGGCCAAGGAGGAGCGGCGGCTGGATCGCGGCGCGCTCCAGGGCACGAAACCCTCCACGCAGCCGAGCAACAGTTTCGGAAGAGAAGTTCTGCATCCAGTCAGGTCCAACATCTAGCACCTCGAGAGCTTTGGAACATCTGCTCCAAACCCGTAAGTGGTGCAGTGATCCCAGGTATGGCGAGCTGACTGCAGCGGGTGTACCTGGTCTTGGCTAAGATGCAGAGCACGGGGGTTCGGGCTTGAGGTGGTTTGGCGGCAATTCGGGATTGAGGCCACTGCTGCGTGATCTGGGTGCTCTAGTCTAGTGTCCCAAGCTCCTTCGCTGAATCGTCTGGCCATGTCTGCACGGCCAAATGGCACGGCTTACTTGGAGGATCATGGGACTTAGTAAGTAAGGTCATAAGTACCTTAATTGGGGTTATAAGTATTGTTACCCTAATTATAACCCTCATTACTAAGTCCCATGATCCTTTAAGTAGGTTAGGCTTCTGGCCGAGCGCTGGGGGTTGGACGATGCGGAAGGCACAGCCCGGGCCTGGGTCTGCTAAGGATGACTTAGGGAACGCAGAAAGGACGTAGACAGAGAGGACTATAGGCATGTTCATGTTTGGGCAAGCTTCAAGGAAAATCACCCGTCTGGTTACTGGGTTGGTGCTGACCGATGGAGCATCTCACTTGCTTAGCGTCTCGCTGGCATCTCCTCGTCTCATGAAGCAGGGACAGGAACCCTCGAGCCCCAACTTGCAAAGCCCCTTTGACCTGAGCCTCAAGGTGTTCAAACCCTGTCTGAGCGCAGGCGTGCCTGGCATCTTTGCAGACCTTGGCTGCGGGGTTGGGAAGATGGTGGCGCCACGGCCTTCCAGTTTCAGCAGTATTTGGGCAGCGAAGCGTTCCATCTAAGCTGCAAATGAGGCCTTGCGGACAGCTGTGTCCTGCAGCCTCTAGCATCAAGAAGCCGTGTCATGTGCGGGAGGCAGTCGTAACACTCGTAAAGACTGATTCGCTCGCCATCCCCATGCCTCTTTCGTCATCTTTTCCATGGAGCTCCTGTCTGCTTTGGTGGGCCTGACTAATTACCAATACATTTTTTTTTTTTTTTTGGGGGGGGGCCTTCCTTACGCTAAACCCTAGTCTTACGATTCCTTAGATCACACGGTTCAGGTGCAGGTCTATCTGGAATGCCCCGGGGTGGGCTGTGCACTGGGCGTAGAGCTGTCGGCCACGCGCTGCCGGAGAGCGCGGGAGGCTTGGGAGGTGCGGAAACGGGGATGGGGCGAGCCGAGCTTTAGAGCCAGGGGCAGAGATGGGCAGAGGGTGCTCAACAACTTAAGACTTAAGCTGAAAGCGCAAGCTCAAACCGCTTGAAGTGGTGCAGTCATCGGAAGTGTGCGCGAGGCACTGCTCCTCAGTGACGAGGCCGGAGGCAGAACTTAAGACGTGTTGATGGCTGTGGATGCGACTGACCACCTGCGGGTCCAAGCTTGGCGAATGTAGATGTAGAGCGTTCGACGTTGTATCCAGGGGCAGCGATTCTGGCACCGTCAAGAGTCCCGACAGACAGCCAGAGACAGAGACAGAGATAGAGACAGACAGACGGATACAGACAGACCAGAGACAGACAGCAAGCACGCACAAGTGTCAATTTGCTCCCTTCTCTATCGGTCAAAAGCCTTCGTACACCGCGCTACTTCGCACAACTCGCGGGCTGTGGTGACCGGTAGTTCAACGGAACGTCGGAGATCTATTCCATTCGAGGCAGTTAGATGTTCGGCTTTTCAGTGTGTATTAGTATCAGTGAGTTTGATAAAAAGCAACCTTGAACCCCCGAACCGCTCGGCCTGCGGCCCTTCTGAGTCAGCATGGAGGCGTTCGAGCTCCGCCAGCGGCTGCTGAAAGCATCGGGGTGCGAGGCTCTCCGCTTGTGGATATACCAACACGTACATCCCGAAAGCTTGCCTGTGACCTACGGAAGTGAGGCTCAGAAGCAAACGACTTAGGGCATTTTCTGCCAGCCCGTCACCGATTCAAGCGAGATCCAAGGTTACACAGCCAAGGTGATTGTGTGCCCCGTTGCCACAAGGTTTAAGGCCACAGCCGCCTTGAAGCATCTCCACCCATATAACTGCACCGCCGTAGTTGTGACTTCTGCCACAGTTGTGCTTTCGAGACGCTCGAGTACGCTGCACTGAGAAACCCGTATCAGGAGGAGGCCAGCCCTGAGGACGAGGCTCGGACCGGTCAGTTGATTTGTTCTGGGTCTAGAGATGCTTGGGTTTGTTTTGTGGGTTTGTGCGAAACTTGGACGCGGGATGCAGCCCCGCATCGCGTCTAGATTTTAGATGCGTTGGATCTCCGAAGACCTGGTACGAGTCGCATTCTGGACTGCGGACGGTGCCGAAGGGCTGATTTTCAAAGCAGGGTTCGAATGTGTCCTTCCCCACGGTGTTCCTTCAACACCTTATGTCCTTACCTACCGAAGGTGGAGTTTGTTCAAGGCGATCTGCCCCTCGGCCGACAGCTTCGACCACTCTGTTTCACTGCTCGCAAGCTCTGTAGCAGTCGAGGTTGGATGCAGACATCAGCCATGTCACGCATGTCTACCTCTCCTCGCTCTGCTTCGACGAAGCCACTCTTTTCGCATCCGCCCAGAAGTTGCAGCAGGCAACGGGAGCCGGGATTTTTCATCTCATGAAACCCTTAGGCATCATGCCGTCCTTTCATTTGATCAAAGCTCAGAACACCTTCGGCACTGCGTTTTCAGGAGGGGCGCCAGCTCCGAGGCGTCGTGTCTCGGCAAGTGCCGGTTTCGCGAAAGATTTCAGAGTCTGGTAGTCACTCCACGCGGAGTTCGTGGTTGTTGACTCGTCCAAGAGATACACAGTCTGCAACTTGTAGCCGGTTGCAGAAATGCAAACTGGAAGCTTCAATGCCGACTAGACACCAGCTTGCCATCCCTTGCTGATAGAAGGTGATGGATTCAAGGCAGTGGTGCTAGAATAATGGACGGCCCGGGTCGAGGAAATGGTCGTACCGTCGTCTGTGCCTTGCTGGCTCTGGGGGCTTGTGATGGGATTCATGATGGCCAGCCCATCTGAGGCCTCGCTGCAGCCCTTGCCTTTGCTAAGAAAAGTGGGGGAGCCATTTTGCTGCATTGGGAGGTGGGCTGCCTGGGTGCAATTTATTCTTCTGTGAACAGGTTGCTGCTGCCCATGTCATGGACATCTGGCAGAGGCGAGGAGATACGGGTCGGAGTTTGGTTGCTGGAGCGCAACACGTCAGGTTTGGGCACCATGGCCTACCTCTACGAAACCTAGCGGCAAAGCTCCAAAACGAAGAGGGGTCCTGCATCAGTGCCACAGCGATCTGTGAACACAAAGCCCCAACTTGTGATCGGCATTCCGCAGCTGCTCCATGCATTTTGGGCCCATGCTGGATTCGACAATGCAGTGTCAAGGATCTGTTGCAGACGTCGTGCAGATAAGAATGATAAGACTGCTAGGCCGCAGCTGATCTCGTTGCGTTTACGGCTAGTTTTCTTGCTTCGCTGCCATCATGGACTTCGTGGTTCTTGCGGACGAGGCGCTGTCTAGCCTGAGTGCCTTCGTCTCTGGACAGCATTCGACTTGACAGAGCAGCACTACAAGACTGGAGCTAAGAGGCGTCGACGGTCAAGCAGGAGAAGCTTGAGATCGATCGACGTCGGGGTGTAGGTGCGCTGCTTCAAGGAAGTTTAGGAACTGCCATGCAGCAGGCTTGCAGTGGTTTTGGCAATGCCTAAACGTTTTGTTGGAGAGGAGTTTCTCTTAAGTGGTCGTGTTGTCCCTGTCGTGGCTATTCGTTATCGGCATTGAGGGAGTGAATGTGGAACAGTTTGACAGCTTACATGCCGCAGCTCGATGCAGCATGATTCCCAGTCTTCCAGGCACAGTCCCCACTAAACACGAGCCAAGCAGCAAGGTCCTGAACATGCAAGCACCACTGATTGTCATTCCAGCTTCTCCTCTTTACCTCTCTTCTTCTGACGCCTTTTTGCCCGACTCGGCATCATGACGGGCACGGCACCGCAAGAGATGAAGGAGAAGGCCAGGCCGTGTGGGACCAAGCCTTTGTTGTAGTTCACGAGACTCAAGGTGCAGGGTTCAAGGTTTGCTTTGGTGTAACTATAAATCTGCCGACCTATTTATCAATCTGTCTATCTTTTTGTCGGCCTTACTGTTTACCTACCTACCTACTATCGATCCGTCTATCTGTCTCTGTGTATCTACCTATCTATCGATCTATCTCTGTGTCTATCTACCTATCTACCCATCTACTTATCTCTCTTTCTCTTTCTATCTATCTATCTATCCGACCATCCATCCATCCATCCATCCATCCATCTGTCTATCAACCTATACATGTACATACACACTTACGTGCGTTCGTACATCATACTTGCATACGTACATACATATGTACATGCACATATATGCTCATCAATACATACACGCATACATAGAGAGCGATAGACAACCGCTTTGAGTGAACAGAAACAAACAGAGAACACCGGCAAACACGACGCCCTAAACCCTAAACCCTATACCCTAAACCCTACACCCCTAAAGCCCTAAACCCTAAACCTGAAGACGACGCCGGGTCGTCGCCTTCCAGGATCCGAAGACCTCGCCGAGCTCGAACCCCAAGGATGGCAAGAAGGCGCCCTTTTTTTGGGGGGCCTGCTACCCAGAGCCCTGCAGTATACGATTGTAGGGGTTCTTTATGATGATTATAGTGTAGTATACCCCATTACACCAGCGAAGACCCCAAACGGAATGCATCGAATCATACCGGTTCAAGTTGGAATGTGTTGGATCCCAATCTGGCTTCGCCAGCAGATTTTGCGAAGAAGAATTAGGCATTGGGCGATATATTTCTGCGAAAGAAGAGTGGGTGGTGGGACTCAAGCATGTGGGAAGGTTTTTGGGAGGGTCCAGGGAGCATCGTTCACAGGATCTTGCTGCAACACCATGCACGGACAACATGCACATTTCTCCCGCAACTGCCACATTGTTGCCGCCTTTGCAAAACAGGATACCTGGCCTCTGCTGCAAACGTTCGCGGACGAAGTGCAAAAGAGCTTGGTGTTCGCTTCGGTTGGTTGTCGGACGGGAAGAAAACGAGAACTTTGCCGTGCATGTTTGGCAAGAAAGGTAGGAAGGCTTAACACGGAACCATTCACGTTTTCTCTGCCGACCGAACGAAGAGCATTGTCCACAGGATTTTGCTGCCGCAGGAACCGCAGAAAGAAAAAACGCAACTTCTCCACAATTTTCATAACATTACCGTTTTGCAAAACAGGATTCTTTGCCTCCGCTGTAGACATTGGAGGAAGAAGCACAACAGAGGTTGCTATATGGATCGGTTTTCTGTCGCACGGGAAAAAAGTGTGAACTTTGCCGCGCAATTTTGGCGAAAAGAAGCGCACACAGGGGTGCGTCGGCTTACAACAAAAAAACAAAACGCTTTCTGTACACGGAACCATTCACGACTTTTTCCGCAGACGGAACGAAGATCCATAGAATCTTGCTACCGCAGAAACCACGCACGGAGAAAAACACACACAACATTGCCGTTTTGCTTTTGCGAGACAGGACATGTGGCCTCTGCCGTAAACGTCTGTGGAAGAAGCGCAAAACAGGTTGGTATACGGATCGGTTGGCTGTCGCACGGGAAAAAAGTGTGAACTTTGCGGCGCATTTATGGCGAAGAGAAGAGCAAATGGGTTTGTCGGCTTACAAGGCAAACAAAAATCTTTCTTTACACGGAACGCAGCAACCACGCACGGAAAAAACACGCAACATTGCCGTTTTGCGAGACAGGATATGTGGCCTCTGCTGTAGACGTCTGTGGAAGAAGCGCAAAACAGGTTGGTATACGGATCGGTTGGCTGTCGCACGGGAAAAGGCAGGAGCTTTGCCGCGCGAACTTGGCAAAAAGAAACGCAAAGGGGTTTGTCGGCTTACATCGCAAACAAAAATCTTTCTTTACACGAAACCGTTGACGATTTTTTCCGCAGACAAAACGAAGAACGTCGTCCACAGGATCTTGCTGCCGCAGAAACCACGCACAGAGAAACACACAAGTTCCCCTTTACACGGAACCATTGACGATTTTTCCGCAGACAGAACGAATCCACAGGATCTTGCTGCCGCAGAAACCACGCACAGAGAAACACACAAGTTCCCCTTTACACGGAACCATTGACGATTTTTTCCGCAGACAAAACGAAGAACGTCGTCCACAGGATCTTACTTCCGCGGAAACCACGCACGGAGAACACACACACACACATAACTTTCCCGCAACTGAGTTAATCCGACCCTCAACAGCAGCACAACGATATTGGAGCAGGATCGCCGGGCAAGGCAAGGAAACCCAAAAGGGAAGCCCAGCCCGAAGAGGAACACAAGCTGCAAGCGTACCTCTTTTCTCATTACTCGAGCCAAAGTTCATGTCATTGGCACATTAAGCTACACAGTCAGACATGTTACCTATACAATGACAGGGAACGTCGTATTCGATCAACTATCTGTTACAACATTGCTGCTTTGCAAAACAGGATACCTGACTTTTGCTGTAGATGATTGCGGAAGAAGCACGAAGTTGGTATACGGATCGGTCGCCTGTCGGACGGAGCAAATTGGGAACTTTGCCGCGCAAACTTGGCAAAAAGAAGTGCGAAGAGGTTTGTCGGCTTCTAAGGCGAACGAAAATCTTCTTTTGCACGGAACCATTGACGATTTTTCCGCAGACCGAACGAAGAGCGTCGTCCACAGGATCTTGCGGCAAGTTTCCCGCAAGTGTCACAACCTTGCCGTTTTGCAAGACAGGATACCTTGCCTCTGCTGTCGACGTTCGTGGAAGAAGCACAAAAGAGATTAGTATACGGATCGGTCGGCTGTCGCACGGGAAAGACGGGCAACTTTGCCGCACAAACAGGGCAAAAAGAAAAGCGAAGTCGGCTTACATTGCAAACCAACATTTTCCTTACACCCAACCATTGACAATTTTTCCGCAAACCGAACGAAGAACTTCGTCCACAGGATCTTGCTGCAGCAGAAACCACGCACGGAAAAACACACAACTGTTACAGCATTGCTGCCTTGCAAGACAGGATACCGGATACTTGGCCTCTGCTGTAGACGTTTGTGGCAGACCAGGCGCCCAGAAAGGAAACATTAAGGGAACCCAGCGGGAGCTCAGGCCCTCTGCTGCGGCCCGCCCGTCCAACCCAGGAGCCCAGAAAGGAAACAGGAAGGAAACCCAATTGGCAGCCCAATCCCTTTGCCGCGGCCCACCCATCCAATCCAGGAGCCCAGAACGGAAACATGAAGGGAGGTAAACGGGATTGCCGCGGCCCAAGGAAACATGAAGGGAGCCCAACGGGAGTCCAGGTCCAACCCAGCAGCCCAGAAAGGAAACATGAGGGAGCCCAATGGGAGCCCAGGTCCTTTGCCGCAGCCCACCCGTCCAAACCAGGAGCGCAGGAAGGAAACATGAACGGAACCCAATGATAGCCCAGGTTCTTTGCCGCGGCCCACCCGTCCAACCCAGGAGCCCAGAAAGGAAACATGAAGGGAAGTGAATGGGAGCCCAGGTCCTTCGCCGCGGCCCACCCATCCAACCCAGGAGCCCAGAAAGGAAACATGAAGGGAACCCCATGATAGCCCAGGTTCTTTGCCGCCGCCCACCCGTCCCACCCAGGAGCCCAGAAAGGAAACATGAAGGGAGCCCAAGAAAGGCCAGGTTCTTTGCCGCGGACCACCCGTCCAACCCAGGAGCCCAGAAAGGAAACATGAAGGGAAGTGAATGGGAGCCCAGGTCCTTCGCCGCGGCCCACCCATCCAACCCAGGAGCCCAGAAAGGAAACATGAAGGCAACCCAATGATAGCCCAGGTTCTTTGCCGCGGCCCACCCGTCCAACCCAGGAGCCCAGAAAGGAAACATGAAGGGAAGTGAATGGGAGCCCAGGTCCTTCGCCGCGGCCCACCCATCCAACCCAGGAGCCCAGAAAGGAAACATGAAGGGAACCCCATGATAGCCCAGGTTCTTTGCCGCCGCCCACCCGTCCCACCCAGGAGCCCAGAAAGGAAACATGAAGGGAGCCCAAGAAAGGCCAGGTTCTTTGCCGCGGACCACCCGTCCAACCCAGGAGCCCAGAAAGGAAACATGAAGGGAAGTGAATGGGAGCCCAGGTCCTTCGCCGCGGCCCACCCATCCAACCCAGGAGCCCAGAAAGGAAACATGAAGGCAACCCAATGATAGCCCAGGTTCTTTGCCGCGGCCCACCCGTCCAACCCAGGAGCCCAGAAAGGAAACATGAAGGGAAGTGAATGGGAGCCCAGGTCTTTCGCCGTGGCCCACTCATCCAACCCAGGAGCCCAGAAAGGAAACATGAAGGGAAGTGAATGGGAGCCCAGGTCCTTCGCCGCGGCCCACCGGTCCAACCCAGGAGCCCAGAAAGGAAACATGAAGGGAGCCCAATGGGAGCCCAGCCAGTTTGCCGCGGCCCAGCCATCCAACCCACCGCGGCCCACCTTTTTTCTGAGGAGAGAACCCCAAACCGTACCTGTTTGGGGAAAAATCCCTGTTCAAATTATTAAGGCCCCTATAATGATGCATTGCACTCGTTTTTTGTAAAGTATGTTGCTACAGCAACCTTGGATTGTTT